TTTTACACAAAATAATTTTTTCTTCTTCCTGCCGTAGGAAAGACAGAAAGGGGAAAATGGAAATCAGTCTAGGCCTTATTTCTCTAGGTCTTTACCTTTGCCAAAAGGATCTGTCATATAAGGTCTAAATGGATCCTTACCAGCGACTTCCTCATTAATAATGAGAAGAGCTTGCAGGGCAGCAGCTGAAGAAGGTGCAAAAAGGGTTTTCTTGTGTGTGTGTTTCTTTGTGGCTGATTGGCTGCTCTCCCTGTGCAAAGGTCAGAGGGGGCAGGGTTTCTGTTGAGGCAGGTGATTAGCTGTGGGAGGAGCTTATCAGAGCTTGCAGGGCAGTGGCGCGCGCAGTTTGATCCATCTTTTAGATTTAGGGGAGCTAGTCTCAAACGTTTGTTGGGGGAGACCTAGGTTGTTTTTTGGGGGGAGTTATTTGTCCTGTCTTCACGCTTTTTATGATGGAGGACTGCTGTAGCCACCCCCAACGACACGTTCTCAAGATGGAGGGGGAGGGAACAGCTGCAGTCCCCTGCAGTTCCTGCACAATGTTTGCCATCTTGCCAAAGGTTGCAGGCAGCTTTACCTGCAGCAATTGCATGTTGATTGCCCTCTTAGAAGACAAAGTCCAGCAACTGGAGGAACGTGTAGCTAAGCTTCAAAGAATTAGAGAGCTGGAGCTCTTCTTGGAAGCAACAGAGCACACCGTCTCCACCAAGGAGGAGACAGGGGACTCCCCTGAGAAGGACGCTAGTTCACCAACACAGGAGCCAGATATATGGAGAAACGTGACTCAAAGAAGTAGGAGGCCCAGGATTCGTTCTGATTGTTTAGAAATACACAATCACTTTGAGGTCCTCTCCCCTAGCATGGAAGACGAAGAGCAAACTCCATTTGAGGATCTCTCCCTCATTACAGTCAATCAGGTATATGAAGACGAGCAGCAAAGTCAGTCCTCAGGGAATGTGCAGGCGACCTTGGAACGGACAGCTCACGGAAGGACCCCGACCAAACCTAAGAGGAGGCGTGTAGTGGTGATAGGGGATTCCCTACTGAGGGGAACAGAAGCAGTGATCTGTGGGCCTGACAAGATGTCTCGGGAAGTGTGCTGTCTCCCTGGGGCTAAGATCCAAGATGTAACTGAACGACTGCAAGGAATCATAAAACCCACTGACAAATACCCCTTCCTCTTGGTTCATGTGGGAACCAATGACACTGCAAGCCATAGCCTCCAGAAGATCAAAAGAGACTACGAGGCTCTGGGCAGGAAATTGAAGCAATTAAATGCACAAATTGTCATCTCATCTGTCCTTCCAGTTGAACGGCGTGGCCCAGGGAGAGAGGGAAAAATAGTGGAAGTGAACAGCTGGCTTTGCAAATGGTGTAAACAGGAACGGTTTGGATTCTTAGATCACGGACTGCAGTTTCTTGAAGATGGACTTCTGGCAAGCGATGGGCTGCACCTCACAACGGTTGGGAGGAATGTTTTTGCCAAAAATCTCAGAAACCTCATCAGGAGGGCTTTAAACTGACTAATGTGGGGAGGGAGACAGTGCTCCTGAAGGTAGGAGTCTATCAATTGATGAAGATGATCATCCAAATGTCATAGACCAAATGGAGCAAACAGCACGCAGACCTAGTGGTGGGAGGAAAAAATCCTTAAATAAGAGTCACGGGGGAATGATTAATGGACTTCAATGTCTGTACACTAATGTGCAAAGCATGGGAAATAAACAAGATGAGCTTCAGCTCTTGGTACAGCAAACTAAATATGACATAATAGGCATTACTGAAACCTGGTGGGATAAGTCCCACGATTGGAATGTAATAATGGAGGGATACAAGCTATTTCAGAGAAACAGACCAGACAAGAAAGGAGGAGGAGTGGCGTTATATGTCAGGGATGTGTATACCTGTGAAGAGATCCAAGATTTAGAACCTCAAAGCCAAAGTGAGAGCATTTGGGTCAAAATCAAGGGAGAGAAGAATAACAGTGACCTCATTGTGGGAGTTTACTATAGATCCCCAAGCCAAACGGAGGACATAGATGATGCCTTCCTGGAACAGATGGCCAAGCATGCAAAAGGAAGGGAGATAGTAGTAATGGGGGACTTCAATTACCCGGATATTTGTTGGATGTCAAACTCAGCCAAGAGCCTCAGGTCAAACAGATTCCTCACTGGCCTTGCAGACAACTTCATTGTCCAGAAAGTGGGAGAAGCAACAAGAAGAACAGCCATTTTAGATCTGGTCCTAACCAATGTTGATGACCTGGTTAGTGGGGTAGAAGTGGAAGGATCATTAGGTGCGAGTGATCATGCTCTTCTGAAGTTTACTATACAGCGGAAAGGAGCAGCCAAGCATACTAGGACTCAATTTCTTGACTTTAAGAAAGCCGACTTCATAAAACTTAGGGAAGTGCTGGGTGAGATCCCATGGACAGTAATACTAAAAGGAAAGGGAGTTCATGATGGCTGGGAGTTTGTTAAGAGGGAGATAGTAAAGCACAACTTCAGGCAATACCAATGAGACGCAAACATGGAAGGTGCCTAAAGAAGCCAGGGTGGCTATCTAAAGAACTTTTAACTGAAAAATAAGTCATGTCAGACTAACCTGATCTCGTTTTTTGACAGAATTACAAGCCTGGTAGATGAAGGGAACGCAGTGGATGTAGCCTACCTTGATTTCAGCAAGGCATTTGACAAGGTGCCCCATGATATTCTTGTAAAGAAGCTGGTAAAATGCGGTCTTGACTATGCTACCACTCAGTGGATTTGTAACTGGCTGACTGACCGAACCCAAAGGGTGCTCATCAATGGTTCCTCTTCATCCTGGAGAAGAGTGACTAGCGGGTGCCACAGGGTTCTGTCTTGGGCCCGGTCTTATTCAACATCTTTATCAACGACTTGGATGATGGACTCAAGGGCATCCTGATCAAATTTGCAGATGACACCAAACTGGGAGGGTGGCTAACACCCCAGAGGACAGGATCACACTTCAAAATGACCTTGACAGATTAGAGAACTGGGCCAAAACAAACAAGATGAACTTTAACAGGGAGAAATGTAAAGTATTGCACTTGGGCCAAAAAAAATGAGAGGCACAAATACAAGATGGGGGACACCTGGCTTGAGAGCAGTACATGTGAAAAGGATCTAGGAGTCTTGGTTGACCACAAACTTGACATGAGCCAACAGTGTGAGGCGGCAGCTAAAAAAGCCAATGCAATTTCTGGGCTGCATCAATAGGAGTATAGCATCTAGATCAAGGGAAGTCATAGTGCCACTGTATTCTGCTCTGGTCAGACCTCACCTGGAGTACTGGGTCCAGTTCTGGGCACCACAGTTCAAGAAGGACACTGACAAACTGGAACGTGTCCAGAGGAGGGCAACCAAACTGGTCAAAGGCCTGGAAACGATGCCTTATGAGGAACGGCTAAGGGAGCTGGGCATGTTTAGCCTGGAGAAGAGGAGGTTAAGGGGTGATATGATAGCCATGTTCAAATATATAAAAGGATGTCACATAGAGGAGGGAGAAAGGTTGTTTTCTGCTGCTCCAGAGAAGCAGACACGGAGCAATGGATCCAAACTACAAGAAAGAAGATTCCACCTAAACATTAGGAAGAACTTCCTGACAGTAAGAGCTGTTTGACAGTGGAATTTGCTGCCAAGGAGTGTGGTGGAGTCTCCTTCTTTGGAGGTCTTTAAGCAGAGGCTTGACAACCATATGTCAGGAGTGCTCTGATGGTGTTTCCTGCTTGGCAGGGGGTTGGACTCGATGGCCCTTGTGGTCTCTTCCAACTCTATGATTCTATGATTCTATGATTCTAAGAAACAGATCTTGGAGGTGCCTCCTCCCGTCCCCCAACCATTGGATTTGGATTTGATATCCCGCTTTATCACTACCCGAAGGAGTCTCAAAGCGGCTAACATTCTCCTTTCCCCTCCTCCCCCACAACAAACACTCTGTGAGGTGAGTGGGGCTGAGAGACTTCAGAGAAGTGTGACTGGCCCAAGGTCACCCAGCGGCTGCATGTGGAGGAGCGGGGAAGCGAACACGGTTCCCTAGATTACAAGTCTACTGCTCTTAACCACTACACCATGAAAAGATACTGACCTGTATGCACGTTTAGCACCTTAACTATATGTATATGTGTCTGATGAACAAAATTAATTTGAGACCTAATTTGCAAAACCAGAGTCCCCTGAAATCACACATCATGGAATAAACAGTTGAAATTGCATTCTTTTTCTACCGGCAAATGTATCTTGAACAAAGTCCCAACAACCACCTTGTGACAGCTGGTTGCTGCACCAAGTGACATCCACATCTTGAATGCTCCCAGGCTGCTGCCGATTCTCCTCTTCCCTGTCAAGGTACTCTTTAGCCTACCTACCACCAGATCTGTATGACACATGAGCTCCTGGGAGGATTTGCTCTGTAAGGTCAAAGCTTAGCTCCTCCAGCAGCTTTTCCACTCTGGAGACTTGGGAACTGATGTTTTTGGTACAACTGTAGAAAAGGCAAGGAGGGGACAGTATAAATGTGCCATCTGAATGATGGAGCACATCATCCCAAGGGAAGAAAGGAAGGTTGAAAGTAAAATGTTCTGAAGAGGTAGCAAGGCTGGGGAATTCATTTGATGTTGCAAGGCATTTTTTCCCATAAAAATATACTGTAATTTTACATCTTGCAAATTCATTTATGTGGCAATCAAACATCTGGAGGATCTACATGTTGGAAGCTTGCTTATCCCCATAACAAGCGCATTATGTTTGTTCGCTGATGCATGAGCATTCTGGAAACTCAGCAGAAAGTAAATACAGGGCAAGGAACTGATCAATATGAGAGCTTAAGAGTAAAACTATACATGCAACATGTTGCTATTATCCCTCATGCATGAAGTGGAATAAATGCTACAGATAATCACCCAATATGATTGTGAATAAGAGCCATAAACTTCCATAAACTTTATCTTATTTTAACTATTTGCAAGTATTTAGTCAAAGTCTGCCAATGTTTCTACTTGTTTACAATATTTTTGTATATATACAATAAATGCCTCCCATTCTTTTTTTTAATTTCTCAATGTCATTGACTCTGAGCTTTTCTGCAAGTTTTGCCATGTCTGCATAGTCCATCATTTTCAATATCCATTCTTCTATAGTTGGTATCTTATCTTCCTCCCACCTTTGGGCTAGTAAGGTCCGGGATGCTGTTGTTGCATACATAAACAGTTTTTTCTTTTCCTTCAGGATTTGATTTTCTCTTATTCCTAATAAAAACACTTCTGGTTTTTTGGTAAAAGTCATTTTTAAACATTTTCTTCAGTTCATTATATATCCCAGAAATTTTAAACCATTTTACACTCCCACCACATATGGTAAAAAGTATCCTCTTTTTCTTCACATTTCCAACACTTATTAGAACTTCTTCTATACATTTTTGCAAGTTTTACCAGTGTTATGTACCAATGATACATCATTTTCATGTAGTTCTCTTTCAGTATTGTACATGCAGTAAATTTCAGATCCACCTTCCAAAGTTTTTCCCAATCACACATTTGGCTATTATGTTCCAGATCTCTCACCCGCTTTATCATCACACACCATCGCACCACTTCATCCTTTGTTTCCCATTCTAGCAACAAACTATACATTTTCTTCAATAGTTTGGTATTGTCCTCTACAATTTCTCTTTGAAATCTAGATATTGTATAACTGAATCCTCTTTTTTGTTTTCTTTAAATGTCTCATTTAATTGAAAATATTGTAGCCATTCTGATACCTATTTTCTTATTTTGTCACATTTTCTTAATTTCAGTTGATTTTCCACTTCCACTAGGAGCTCTCTATATGTTGGCCAATTTGTCCTTATATTTATCTTTTTAAGGGATATTGCTTCCATGGGTGACAGCCATCAAAGTGTCTTTTGTTCACCTTGAACAAAAGAACAAAAGATGCTCGTTAATTCTTACTGGTGAGCTACTAGAAGGGAGAGGGGAACTCCTGTACTTGTCAGAGCCTTTGTTAAAGATTCAAACCACCTTACCATAGAGGCTCTCAGAATTGTCTGAATGCTCTATAATAATAATAATAATAATAATTTTTATTTATACCCCGCCCTCCCTAGCCAAGGCCGGGCTCAGAGCGGCTTACAAGCAATAATAAAAACAAGTTGAATGATTACAACTTAAAAACAAAATTAAAATACAACATTAAAATATTGAAACATTAAAATTTTAAAAAGTAGCCTCATCGCAGGAGGAGAAGGAAAAGAAAAAAGAAAGAGAGGGAGGGAGGGAATCAAATTGGCTCCAAGCCAAAGGCCAGGCAGAACAACTCTGTCTTACAGGCCCTGCGGAAAGAAATCAGATCCTGCAGGGCCCTGGTCTCATGAGGCAGAGCGTTCCACCAGGCTGGAGCCAGAGTTGAAAAGGCCCTGGCTCTGGTTGAAGCCAATCTAACTTCCTTAGGGCCCGGGACCACTAGGGTGTTGCTATTTATGGACCTTGAGGCTCTCTGTGGGGCATACCGGGAGAGGCGGTCCCGTACGTACGAGGGTCCTAGGCCGTGAAGGGCTTGAAAGGTCAAAACCAGCACCTTGAACCTGACCCTGTACTCCACCAGGAGCCAGTGCAGCTTGAAAAGCACTGGGTGAATATGCTCCCATGGCAGAGACCCTGTAAGGACCCTCGCTGCAGCATTCTGTACCCGCTGGAGTTTCTGGGACAGCTTCAAGGGCAGCGAATTACAGTAGTCAAGCCTGGAGATGACCGTCGCATGGATCACTGTGGCCAGGTTGGGGCGGGAAAGGTAAGGGACCAACTGCTTGATGCAGCGAAGGTGGAAAAATGTAGCCTTGGCTGTTGCTGTAACTTGCGCCTCCATGGAAAGGGAGGCATCAAGGATTACACCCAAACTCTTAACGGAAGGCAATGGCACTAATTGGGCCCCCACAAGAGAAGGGAGTTGGTTCCTCATCCCCATGCCATCCCGACCTAGCCATAGGACCTCTGTCTTCGAAGGATTTAGTTTCAATCGGCTCCCACGAAACCATCCAGCCACAGCTTCCAAGCATCTGGTTAGTGTGTTCGGGGCCGAGTCGATGTGGCCATCCATCAGCAGATAGAGCTGAGTGTCATCAGCATATTGGTGACAGCCCAGCCCAAAGCTCCGGATAATCTGGGTAAGGGGGCGCATAAAGATGTTAAAAAGCATCGGGGAAAGAATTGCGCCCTGCGGCACTCCACACACCAAGGAGTGGCGCGACGACATTTCCGTCCCTAGTGCCACCCTCTGTCCCCGACCAGAGATAAAAGAGCACAACCAGTTACGGGCTATGCCCTGTATCCCCACGTCTGCGAGGCGGTGGTCCAGAAGATCATGATCGACCATGTCAAAGGCTGCTGACAAATCTAAAAGGATCAGCAGTCCTGACCCGCCTCAATCCAGTTGTCTACAGAGATCATCTGTTAGGGCAACCAGAGCCGTCTCGGTCCCAAAACCAGGACGGAAACCGGACTGAAATGGATCTAAAGCCGATGTTTCCTCCAGAAACCTACCAAGCTGTTCAGCAACCGCTCTCTCAATTACCTTACCCAGGTATGGAAGATTTGAAACTGGGCGGTAATTGGATAGGTCTAAGGGATCTAATGAAGTTTTCTTTAAGAGTGGACACACCACTGCTTCCTTCAGTTCCCCTGGGAATGTCCCCGTGTCAAATGACAAATTGATAATTTCAACCAGGGGGGTCCGTGCAACATCTGGACACTCCCTAATCAGCCAAGACGGGCACTGATCAAGGAGGCAGGTGGTGGGCCTACCAACTTGGAGGAATCTATCCACATCAGTAGGGAGTATCTGATCGAAATGGTCCAACACTGGACCTGAAGTCAGTCGAGGGGCCTCCAGTTCAGTCACTGTATCTAAATTGGCAGGGAGGTCACGGCGGAGCAACAGGGCTTTCTCCGCAAAAAAGCTCGCGAATGCCTCACAGCTGTGGGTCGAATTTGTGCTTAAATTTGGTTGTCCTCCTAAGGATGCTATTGACCTAATTATTCTAAAAAGTTGTGCCGGGCGAGAGCTAGTGGATGCAATGGAAGCTGCAAAGTAAGATTTCTTAGCAGCTTTCATAGCCATCTCATAGGATTTCATAAGCGTCCTATAAGATGTTCTTGAAGCTCCGTCACGAGTCCGTCGCCATACTCGCTCTAGCCGTCTGAGATCCTGCTTCATTTTCTGGAGCTCCTCAGTAAACCAAGGGGCCCGGTTTCGACGGGGTCGCAGAGGGCGCTTAGGCGCGATCTCATCAATGACTGCCAAGAGCCAATTATTCCAGTCCTCGACAAGGTCATCTAATGAGTCGCCAGGAGGAGCAGGGTCCCGCAAGGCTTGTCGGAATCTATCAGGAATCTATCTTGTCAGAGCCTTTGTTAAAGATTCAAACCACCTTACCATAGAGGCTCTCAGAATTGTCTGAATGCTCTAAAACAGGACGGGGGATTTCTTGGGCCCAGTGGGCCAGTTCATTATCTGACACCAATACTGTGCACCAACTTTGGTAGGTGGGTGTGACAATCCACTCTTCGATCACTGGATGTCATTATGATATCAGACGATTGACAGGTGGGTTGTCTCACCCACCTGTCAAAGTTCCTTGCACAACAATGGTTGTCAGGTGCTTGGGAGCTGCAGAGCAGGAGTTTGCTGAGTTCAGGGCTGGCAAAGCTACTGCTTGCCTGGATCAGCTGTGCCAATGAATTTCCCACGGAGAACTCGGACACACTGCCAAGGCAGCAGAGCCGAACTCATGGTGTAGCAGATGACATCTGCCCTGCTTTCTGTAAGGATCGGCTCCACCTGGGAACTCGGTGGCACAGCTGACCCAGCTGCCTCTCTACCTGCCCCCATCACATGTGACATCAGATGTGGCTCAGGTGGCTTTGGTTTGGGGAAAATTGTTTTGCAGGTCAAATTGGGCCCTAAATCAGGCCAAGTTTGACCTGAGGGCCAGAAGTTCCCCACCCCCACATACTAGAACTTTTTCCAATACATTATCTATTCTTAGCAATATTTGCAACAATCCTGCCTGTACTGATGATGGGAAGTTGCAGCTCCATTATCTGCAGGTCCATTAGGAATACAAAACAGATCATGTGATTATTATTTTATGGTAGGTTCCAGGGTTTAGAGAGAGAGAGTACATCAACTACCCTAAACCTCAACTTCCAAGACATAAGACTAACCTGGCGAACACTTGACTTGCCACTTCTTAGAAGACTTTCACTGAATACCACAGAAACAGTTATTCACACGTGCAACAAGCTAAACAACCTTTAGCAGCTTACCATACACATGGGAAAATCACACCTTTAAAAGTGTTCTCCATATCAAATTCTTCCTTCACAAGGAAAGACAGAACCTAATACTGTGGATCCTCAAGTGCTGAACCATCCAGAAAAGAGCCATTGAGTGATACGCATTCTTGACAATTACATCTAGGGGCATATTGTGGCACAGCTGAATTGCGCTGATGGATTTCAAACATACACTTTTAATACGGAATAACTACTTACACCTGTTCAGGAATGTGAACATTTTCACAATTCTATTTATGGTGAGCAGATCATTGACGCATCGGATCACAAATCTCATATTACCCTTGCAATAAGCAGCTGGGAGAAAGTGATTCAAACTGAACAATGGAAAATCTGGAAGCTGATTATATAGCAGAAAATCACTTAGCACCAGGAAGCATATCAGGAGTGTATTACACTTGTTTTTAATCAAGGGAAATTCTATAAAAAGTCAGTGGTGATTTCTTTTAATGAGCTATAATAAGGGGAGAAAGTGCCACAGGCACTGTTGGCAATAAGCAGAGGTGGATTAGCAAGAAAATCCCTGAGCCACAAGAAGATGAGAGCACACACCCTTGTCTTACCCTGATCTTGCAGCTTATGAGCCAAAGCACCAGAGCAGCATAGGTGCTAAGAGCATGAGCTCTGAGCCAGGAAGTCTCTGGATCAAATCTCTTCTCCACCACTAAACACTCTAGATGGCCTTAGGCAAGTGACCATTCCACCAAACAGCAAAAATCCAAATGATAAAACCAGTGTTACAGTTTTGTGGTAATGATTACAGAAATTATATATGTAATGCATCATTATATCCCCAGCTGTCGCCAAATTTTAAGCATATGTGACAACCTTGGCTCACATTTACCCTTGCTGTTATTCTTTATCTTTCTTCCTTCTATTGTTTTCCTCAGTGGCTGTGTTTGCTGCTAAGCCATGGTTTGGCTAAAAAACAACAACAACACTATTATTAAAGCTCAAGGCATCCCAAAAATAACCAAGCAACTTACTTTCTCTGCCTGCTGCTTCACCACACCTCCAGTTCATTATCACAAATGGTTTTGTGTCACTCTACTACTGGCATTGCCTCACCCTTAGCACTGGCAAGATGTTTCAAAGGGCAAGGAAACCTCCTTTGGGTCTCCCCAGTCTCTCTTTTTCTCCGTTACAGGAACATTGCATGTTCTTTCCAGCAGTGGAGGTCTGCCAACTCCAAAAACCAAAGCTCAAATGCAAATGCAAAGCAAACAAAGTTTGGGAAACACTGTTTGGTTGGTTGGTTGGTTGGTTAGTTGGAGACAATGGAAGTGTGTGCCTACAGGGGTGAAGTCAAACCACTGGAGAGTTACAGCGCCTGCTGTGGATCCTTGGTGGTGAGCAAAACCCTTCTCCAGCCAAAGAAGACCCATAGCACAAAGCAGAAGTGCAGCCATGAATCAACAGTGCCAGAACAGCCATACCTGAACTTTGTGAATGCTTCTCTGATTCTATTGAACAAGCTCCACGGAACTGCCCCAAAGACAGCATCAAAGCAAGGTGGAACCACATCAGAGAGGCAACCTACAACACAGCTAGGTCCTCCTTTGGCAAAAGAGAGCAGCAAATCTTTGACATGTTTGAGGCTGGCATTAAGGATATGAGGCCTGTTATTGCCACAAAGCACGAAGTTCCTGTGAACTGTAAGCATGCTCCTTGCAAGAAGACACTTGTTGAACTGAGAAAGGTTCAGATTCCCAGGTGGTGGATCAAGCTAAAGCTGTGCCAGTGCATCCAACTCACTGCTGACAACAGCAACACTCATAAAATGTATGAAGGCATAAAGAAAGCCTTTGGACCAACAGTCAGGATAACTGCACTACTGAAACCAAAAACTACTCATGGGAAAACATGGTCTCTGACACAGCAATCAACAGTATCCAGACCCTGTCTGTCTTGGAAGAGCTGGATGTCCCTCCTTCCCATGACAAACTGAAGAATACCATCAACGCTCAGGTATGTGGTAAAGCCCCAGGAAAGGACAGAATCCCAACAGGAGAGCTAGAAGCCAGCCTCAACTTCTCCTTCATGACATACCTCCATGGTCTCCTCTTGCAGTGTTGGGAACAAGGATCCATGCCACAAGACATGCACAACTTCAGCATTGTGATCCTCTACAACATCAAAGGTGACCACCATGACTATAACAACTATCATGGGATCTCCCTGCTGAGTACCATGGGGAAAGCCTTCACCCATGTAGTTCCCAACAGATCAGAATCACTCACAGACAAGGTCTATCCCAAGTCACAATGCAGCTTCAGAGCTTAGAGGTCAACAGTCAACATGATGTTCTCACTCCACCCGCCGCAGGAGAAATGCTGACAGCAGAGACACCCCTTGTCTGTTGCCTTCATAGACCTGGCAAAGGCCTTTGATCTCGTCAGCCAAAAAGGACTCTTCACACTGCTTCACAAGATAGGTTGCCCACCTAAGTGCCACAAGATGATCCTGTCCTTCCACAAGAATATGTGTGGACCATCCATTATGATGGCTCATCCATGGGCACCTTCTCTGTACAGGGCAGCGTGAAATAGGACTGTGTTCTTCCATAACCCTCTTTGGCGTATTCTTCTCCCTGTTGCTCTCCTGAAGGTAGTGAGTATTTCCATTCATGGAGCAACAGGGGTCTGTTCAACCTGGCACATCTCCACACCAAGACAAAAGTGTGGCAGGTCCTTATCCAACACATGTTGTTGCAGCGTACTCCAAGGAAGCTCTACAGAGGCTCATCAACTGTTTTGCCCAAGTCTGAAGGGAGTTCGGCCTCACCATCTGCCTGACGAAGACCAACATCCTGGGAAACAAAAGCCTGCTACCTGTGATCCTTTTGAACAGTAGACAGCAGGGATTCATGAAAAGATTATGCTCTACCATTGGCCACAGGGTCTCACAGAACAGCAGTTGTTATACGATCTCCAAATATTTTCAGAGATACCAATTAAAAATACACCTGGTGGTGCTATTATTGTCCAAGCAATATGTCTGTCTTCTAAGCATCATTTGTTGCAATCCTGAGTCAAGGAGCATGTTAAGTCTCACTGAGATTGTTAGGTATGTATGATGTGCAGTGAAATCTGAGGCATCTTGAGTCCAGCATGAGCTCCCCTGTGTTCAAGAAGGGTGCACAGGAGAGCAGCCCAAGGGCAAGATCACTGCATGCGTTTTTTGCATTGCCCAGCACCTATCTGAACCTGTGTAGCCAGCCTTTATGTTATATCTCAAAGATTTGTGCAGCTCTTCTTTAAACAAAAATATAATTTATCCAGGAAGCAAGATGACATTTCTGTTTCCTTACAAAATAACAGATAACTAGAAAAAGAGAGCAAACATCATCTGTTTTACTACATTAAATTTTTTTTAAGAAGCTAGATGTTTGGGAAAACCTTATCTGAGCAAAACAAATAACCTTCTCCTTCAGCAGTGAACAATGGCAGGAGAGGAAGTCTTAACACTCCACTTCAGATTCTGAGAAAAGAAAAATGTTTTACAAGCACTGAAAATGAGAATACGTGGTGACTGAAACTCAGGCCCCATATGAATTGCTATTTAGAAAGCATATCCCAACAGCCAAGTTTAATTGTGCTTTGTAAACTTGAAATGCCACTTAAATGTGAAATCCTTATCCCCTGGATTTGCTATATGTATTTCATAAAAGTTGTTTTCTTCTCCCTCAGATAAAATCCACAAAAGCTCCTAGCACTGGGCTGGTCCAAAGACCTCGCTTGCAGACCTGGCCACTGTACTTTTTGCTCACTCAACCAGGTTTGCCTCCAGGAGAGAATCTGTCCTCTCCACACACCCAGCACAGGAACACACCATCCCTTCAGTGGATAAAGATGCTCACTGTCTTTATGTGGAGGGGGAGGGGGTGCATTTCTTTCTTTGTGCCAGCTGCCTTTCCAGGTTTCTTCCTACAACCTTTTAATTCCATTTTTGAGAGTGTTCTTATCAGTTTCACACATTCCCCTCTTCATCTTTAAGCTATTTCTTTCCAAAGGATTGTGATATCTCTCAAAATAAGTGCTTGATTCATCTTTTGGAAAGACTGAGACTAAGAAAATGTAAAGTGGAACTGCAATCCTCACACCCTTTCCACATTGGGCAGTCAACAGGAGTATTTCAAAAGTAGTCTGAATACAAATATAGAGAGACACA